ACCATGGCATCAATAGCGGAAAGACGCTGGGTAGGCGTGTACTCGAGCAGTTTGGAGATCAGGTCGATCGCGTTGGGATCAGCCTTTCGGAACACCTAGTGAATGTAAGTGGATGTACGCAGCGGCTGGCGACAAATTGCTCCACATACCTTACTGAACGGATGAGGCTTAATCTGCGGGAACTTGTGCTCCATGTAGTTGGGGTTCATGGTGCGGATCTGGTCTCGGGTAGGCGTTCCCAAGACCTTGATGATCTCTACGAGCTGGTCAATACCCGACTCGCCCGGGAACAATGGCTGTCCAAGCATCAACTCTGCCATGACGCAACCTGTGGACCACACATCTGCAGAAGATTAGCATGTGGCTACTTCCAGTTACAACAAAACCAACGTACCGATCTTGGTGGTGTAGTTTGTGGCTCCAAAAATCAGCTCAGGCGCGCGGTAGTACCTGGAGCAGATGTAGGACACGTTCGGCTCGTTCTCGACTAGGATCTTTGCACTTCCGAAATCGCAGAGCTTGAGGACTCCGGTTGAAGGGTCTAGCAGTAGGTTTTGGGGCTTAATGTCCCTGTGGCAGATACCCTGCGAGTGAATGTAGGCGAGCGAGCGGAAGAGCTGGTAGATGTACAGCTTGACTTCGAGGATGGGCATAACCGACTTCATCTTGTTGAAGTAGCGCGAAGCACGGTACACGGTCTCAGGAACAAACTCGAGCACGAGATTCAGGTACACCTCGTCTTTCTGTGGCTGAAACGGTTAGCTACACGAAATGCACGCACGCGCTTGCTTGCAGACACATACCCGCTCGCCATTGTTGTAGAAGAAGGCCTTGAGCTCGACAATGTTGGGATGTCGGACAATGCGCATGATCTGGAGTTCGCGGTTCTGTTGGGGAGGTCAGCTGAGGCTGTGTATTTTGGCGTGTGTCGCGCAAACGCACCTTGAAGCGCTTGTCTTGCAGGACACGCTTGATGGCCGCATCTTCACCACTGGGCGACAGCTTCGTCTGGAAGACTACGCCGAAAGAGCCGTTGCCGACAATCTTGCACTGCGTGTATGCGAGGTCTTTGTAGTCGCCGGTCAGGCCGTCCTGGACCTTTTCGCGGATAACTTCTGTGGGATTGTGAGCATGACATCAATTACGCCGTAGGTGCAAGGGGGAGACTGACCACCCATTCTTAGCGATGAGAAGGCCGATGGCCGGTTCTGGCTCATTGTTTGGGGTTATGCGTGAGGGAGGGGGTCCGCAAGCGATGCGCGGATTGCTGGTGGGGAGCAGGCTTTGGTGTTGGGAGCAAGGGGGTGGGTGCAGAGTCGAGTTTGGCGGAGCAGAGGCGTAGTGGATAAGGTTGTAGGCGCGAGGTCGAGTGTCAAGAGGGCGTGGTCCCGCGTGCCGTCTGTGCAGTACCAGGTGACGCTTCTTGTGGCTGACGGAGCTAAGGAACAAGGAAGGCGCAGGGGGGCCGCTCAGCAACGATGGTCGGGCAAAGGTCACAGCAGCAGGTGGGAAGGGGAGGGTGAAGGATAATTGACGGCGGAGATGGAGAGCTTGTAAAGGTGCGAGGAAAGGCGACGATGGGGTTGAGTGACGGCAGTGCTGGGGATTAAGGGCGGGGCACTGCTAGTGCGAAATTGGGTGCCAACGTGATCAGAAGGCCTGCAATTCACGTACTTGTCAGCGCAGGCCAGTCGAGCGGCGTCTAAGCTGGCAGACCTTGAGCGTACGGTAGTGGCCCGGTGCAGGAATTATGGACCTGCAGCAAGTCGGCGGGATGGGATGCAATGCAGATGAGAAATGCTCGTGGAGCCTTAGATTAGGTACACAAGGCTGCTGGTGTATTGCGGAGGCAGGAGCCTGCGGATCGTTGTTGCTTGAAACAGAGGCGTCAGCAGTCGCGGCTTCGCTCTGGCACACACGACATCAGACGTGTTTATCACTGCTGGCCCAGCCAGACTCTAACAGACGACACCACGAACATTCAACATGACCATTGCGTCTGCAGCTGCGGACGCCGGCCTGCACGTGAGGCATCAGATTTCTTCCCAGCACGCCGTCATGCCGCCTGAAATGAGCTGCACCCACTTGCTCGCTGGCGCGTGGCTGAGACGCACTCCAATCATCGCTGGAGCTTGCCATGCTTATACCAACCTGGCAGTACGAGTCCCGAATGGCTCGCCAGCGATAGGTTGCGCGCGCCCATTAGTGAGTAGCTGCCTCTGATGCTCCGTTTGACATGCGACAACCGTTCCCATTGAGACGTTGGCAGCCCATTGAGGCCGTTACCATGGCCTGAGCAAAACCCTATCCACAGGGCCCACGACGCCTCTAGCGAGTCTCCCTCAACACTCCGCGAATGCTCGACAACGTCAGCCAATTCCATGCTGCGGACGCCTGAGCGCCCGCGGCAGCAATTTCATGCAGCACGCAGTTCGAGCAACCACAACCTTGTCTTTGTTTGCACCACAGCCCGTCAATCAAAGCCGCCGCCGCCGCCGCACATTCGACGACGACGTACCATGACATTCGCGAGTACAGGGGTCCGTAGCCGCAAAAAGTCTTCCGACTGGCGTTGCAGAGGCTCAAGTCCGACTCAACAACATGTCTTTTTCAAACTTTGCCCTCTCACCCTTGCAGCTTGCAGCAAAACCAAATCCCACTGCCGCCTCGTTTTGCTGCATCCAGCCCATCGTCATTATTGTCGAGGCCCCGGCCACGCCCTCGTGGCCTGCAGCTCCACTTGGAGGGCAGCTGATGTTCTCTCACGCCCTGGTCCTGGCGCCCCCCTCTTCGTCTACAGCCGAATGTCCGGGCGACCCAGAGGCGTGGCGTGTTATTGTGGTGCATATCCTCTCACAGCCGCCCAGCCCTTAACCTCACCATGCCATTCTCGTCTCGTCAAGTGCCACTCCACCGTTTGTGCCCCTTCCATCTTGACCGGCTGCTGCGACAAGCGGAAGCGGTCCAAGTCAACGACACCGCTGTCCGAGCATGTCAAGGGCCCACTGGCCGGTGTGAACCACTGCTCGGTGCGGGTTGCACACTCGCCTTTAGACCCAAACGGGCGACACTTGCAGGAACCGACATCGTTGCAAACTATTCATGACGCTTGTGTTCCCCTCTTCGCCTTTCCCGCACTTGGTGCTGCAAGGCACGTGCAAGTCGCGCGCAACATGGTCCAGACGCGCCAACAGCCATGCCTTTGATGTGAATTGAGATCACGACCATGTCTACTGCAGGCTACTGAGACAGATCGGGCTGAAACAACTACTACAGATTTTGCATTTGGCGCTTGCTGTGTGGGTAAGCTAGTCGAGCTACACCATCGATGCCCGACTGGCCGCTCATACGTCAACCTGCAGTAAGCATTGCCGTTCGGAAATCCGACCCACCCTATTGGCTTTCATCATGTGACTCCAGGCCTTTTGAGGACGATATTCCCAGCCGCTACAGACGGCTGCATAACCTTTACAATAGCCATGAGACCCACCATCACCGTCATTACTAGCACTGTACTGCTACCGACAGACTGGTTCTCGTCCCAGCGTGAGCTGAGTCACGAGTATGCTGTTCCTGTACTTCGTCACTCTTGACCTCTTACCCAAACTCATCACTATCCCGACCGTCCCGGATATAGCGAATAGATTATAGACTGTGGTAGATCGTAGATCATGAAGCCCCTGGGGCACTACATTGGTGCGCAGCGACCTCGTGCGACGAAGCCTCCCGCTCTGTCTCAGATCTGGTGGCGGAAGCTACACACACGTAGAGTGACGAACAAAAGGACGCAGGCCCAGATGTCAGCGCTTTATTCGCTTGCTGACCCTTAGGTACGAGATGACCCAAGAGACGCCAATATTTGCTTCTGTTCTACTTCGAGCAACGCACGCATACACAGTTCAGCCTTACGGGGTACCCGTCCTACTCGTCACACCCAACGACCGGACTATGCCGACCCGCCTATGCTGTCGAACATTCGGAGATTTCCTTCCTGATAGCGCGCTCTTATACAGCACGGAATTAACATGCTCATTTAGATGAAGACAATGGAGGGTGCACGGTGGTTGTACTACATTCGATGTATAGTTACCGACATCGGCCGGGGGGCTCGCGACGCTTATCTACAGCTGTCACGTTGGAATTCGTTGAAGTGCATCTTGGTGTTGTGGTTACATCGTCACGGTTCAGCGCACACATCTCATGCTCTCATCCGAGTCGACGCAGAGCCAGCAACCCAGCGGCTACCCGGACGGGTGATACCAGTCTGTCAATGGTCAAGTACGTACACGACTGACACTTTCTTCATCTGGTACCGTCATACGCCACCGTTAGTGGGTGCAACACCTTCTGGTGCATCTTGGTCAGCCTATACAACAGAACCTCAGATCGACATGATCGTAATGCGCATCCCTCAGCAAAGCAGCGAGCTCTCATTGTCCAGTTCCTAATAGTTCTAGCTACAACCGCTCATAACTCGGCTGTAACGATTAGAACACAGTCTGGGCGCTCTTGTCGTCGAAACAAGTACACGAAATACTTTGCCCCATGTTCTACGATTTCCCCGTTCAAGCCGACCCACAATGAGCAATGCTTCCGCAGCTCGAAATCCGGTAGAACGGTTCGAGCAACGTTTTAGCATCGCGTTGTATGTTGATGTTACTGGCCTATCTGCATCACAAGTCGTACTTGGTGGCATCCTTTTCACCTTGTCACTTACGTTGGGAACTCAACGTCGTAACTTGGACTTCACCAATGGAAAAACACTTCAGACGTCGAAATCGATACCAACTATCCTGTCCCTGTCAATGATCAGTAACGTGGATCGTCTCCCTCTTTTAGTTCAATATTCGCTCAACCAATGATCTCCCAAGAATATTCCATGGCATGCGGGCATCCATGTTAACCGCAGTATGCTAGACACAATAAGTATAACGTGTAGGGAAAGAGAGAGAGTCTGTAATCTCCTTATTACTCGATATGTTGCATCATCTTTCTACTTATCAAGGCCAAAACGCCTCGAGATCCAGGTCTCCATCCTCTCTCAAACGCTTCTCGAGCACTACGTCACTGGCCGGATGCCTTTCCTCTCCTTCTTTGAAATGACCCTCAAAGTACTCCTTACAAAGGAACCCATGTATTTGATCAGAATATCCGTACACATCCTCCGGCCGAACGGAGTGCACTTCAACCATGTCTTCACCTACACGCAGCTGCAATATGTCGCGTATAGCTAAAGTCTCCCAATTGGGGACTTGAAATACCATACTCTCTTCGATGTCGAGCTCATCAAAATGTTCGAATAGATCACCGTAAAGCTTCTCTCCGCCTCCGTAAACATAGGGTGTGAAGTCAAAGGGTCGCTCTTGACGAACAAAACATTGAGTTCTGGTCCAGCACGATCTCGTATCCGCTCCATGATCTGCTGTCGTCGCGCCAGCGTACTGTTGGTCGCATCGAATATGCCCACAGACCCACTGCCCTTCAGAATGTAATCCAGCAAATCGTCCACGGCCTTGTTCGGGGCTGCAAAGATATCTGGCACTGTCATGTTCGTTGTGTTTGGGAGAATACTTGTACCAACGGTAAGCGGCAAGCACAGTCCTACGCTGGTCGTAGAAGTGATTACGCAGGTGACGGTGAATAGCTGATTTCCTCAACTCTGGACTCAAATTCTCTTCTTGCAAGGTCGGGACGAATGCATCGAGGAGCTTATCCCGAAACGTCCGCATGACCGTTTCTTCAGTGAAGAGCCGGGTAAAGAGCGCTTTCCAATCAAACGAGAATTCCCAGGGCAAAGTATCAACATTGAGCGAGAAACCGGGGATGATGATGTCGTTCCTCATACCGCCTTTTGTATAACCTCTGTTCAGTGTGCCTTGGCCGAACCGCACTATGACGTTCAAGTCCAATTGCTCCCATGGCTTTCTGTCGTTTGATCTTCTGGTTTCCTCAGGCCAGCCTTGTGGCACGTCGGATAAACTAAGACCCCACATCTCTTTGAAAGTTATTATGTCTGCATCCTCATTCCTTCCGGTAAAGCTCTGGTCGCATGTCGGCAAAGATGCGGCAGCCTGGAGCCCCGAACGAAGGAATGGCTTCAAGCAGCATGCGCACCTCGATAAGGGCAAGAAACTTGTGTGTGAGGCTGTTGGCAGGTGTGAATGGAAAGCGTTGGAGCAGGCTGCCGTTGAGTAGGCACTGTTGCAAGGTTGTTTGAGAGCTTGAAATTCGGCAGAGGCCCGTGAGCGGTGATAGTCACCGATTTGGAATGACAGCTTGGGAACCCAAAAGTTGAGGAAGTTTTGCTCGAGATGTGCTTTGTGGTGGCGCGTTATGTGGCGTAGGTATGTCCATTGGTGGGCTGGGTCGTGGTCATAAAGGGCGATGAGTGATGAGATGATGTGGTCGATGAGCTCCCGTGGTAGTGTCGGAAGCTGGGGCATTTTTGGTAATACTGAATTGAAGGTTCCGGTGTACAAGCTGAATCACAGTCGGTTCCTCGACTGGACGCCTTGTAAGTACCATGTCAAGGTGAGTCAACTAGTTGCCTATGGAGGCTGTGTAAACGTTGATATTCTACATCACGAGCCTTGCGATGTTTCAGAGCTTCATTAGGTGAACCATAATTATTTTCTTGATATATACATATATA